TACACCATCACAAAAAGCACTAAGAAAATAATAATAATCACGAAAGGGCTGCTACACTGTAAAAGGAACACCCCGAAGTCTTCAAAATCACAGAGGAAGCGTCTATAGCTTGTTCACTTTCCTCTGACAGTGCTAAAAAATTCTAGCTCATTGACACATTTACCTATGCTTAAGAAACTTTGCATGGCACTTCTACAGGCTAGCGACCAAAAAAAAAATTTAAAAAAATCTCCACCCAGTAATAAAAAAGTTTTTCTCTTTGGGTCCTATATTAAAAACAACTCCTTGGGTGCGTACACAGGATCACGTCTCAACGTACTACAGGTAAGTCTCGAAAATTACTCACCCCGTCCCTTGAATCGTTTTTCTTAGGCGAACGTCGAGCGTTTAAAGAGCGGTAATGAACTTCAGTTGTGAAGGAGAGCTACACAGATTTGTTTCGTTTCTCAGTAGAATAATCAGAAAGGCCAAAGAAGGACGGGAACTTTTTGTCGAATATATTTTTCTAAATTCAGGAAATGAATAAATCAGAAATCGGGCCTCGTCATGGGGACTTATCTCTCTTTTTGCAGGTACTTGCCAACTTTCAACTCTGTAGCTGTCGTCGTTTTATGGGGAAAGTGACACAATGACATGTGTTTCCAAATTGCCGAATATATAATAGATAATAATGTATTGGCCCCTGAAGCTGTGGATAAGCGTCATAATCCATTCACCTGACGTTATTGTTAATCCCTCCAGTGAATAAAGCGATTAGTTCGTGTAGGTCCCTTCGACTGTTTATCCAGGTTGACTAATCGGTGATTATATATTTTGAGTTGCTGGTTAAGGAAGCGTGTGATCCGTCATGAAAGATCTTGTCAGTTTGTTAGTGTTTGAGCGCTTAATCGGCTGCTCGCACTGTATGCTTCCCGGGAAGCTGAGAATGTTTCAGAGTGTTCTATGGTCTGCTGGGGTAATGATATAGTGTAAAGCGCATAGAGCCTGTTGTTGAGCGGGGATATGTGCTATACAAATGCTATCTATTATTATTATTATTATTATTAACCTATAAGCCTCGCCCACAACTTGTGCACAAATAGCAAGTGAGATGGACGGACAGTGCGTTACAATGGACGTCAACATGACTGCTGGTGACCCATTTGTTTGTTTTACCATGGCATTCATTCTTCATCGTCTGACACATGTCATTTTATTTTACCTTTGCTGAAAATCAGAAACAAAAAATGCAAACATAAATAGATAAATAAATAGATCTAGCATCCATCCCCACCCCCATTTTCAAAACAAAACAAAACCCCAATTTCTTTAGCCTAATGGTGGTCCTAAGCCTCCCACCACCTCTGGTTGGGACCTTAGAAGGGAATGGTTTATTTTCTTCATTCTGATCAGTCCTGCTTAAGACGGCAACCTGTCTTGTCTTATGCTGCCACTTTTCTCCTCGGCAAATGGTGGCCGTCTTCTCAAGTTGGACTATCTATCTATCTATCTATCTATCTATCTATCTATCTATCTATCTATCTATCTA